CACACATTCAAACTAAAGGAACCAGCCTGTTTGGGAAATGTGAGAAGTAGAAAGTACAGGTATTTGTGTTCAACATGTAAGAAGTAGAAAGTTCAGGTATTTGGGTTCAACATGTAAGAAGTAGAAAGTACAGGTATTTGGGTTCAACATGTAAGAAGTAGAAAGTACAGGTATTTGGGTTCAACATGTAAGAAGTAGAAAGTACAGGTATTTGTGTTCAACATGTAAGAAGTAGAAAGTACAGGTATTTGTGTTCAAAATGTAAGAAGTAGAAAGTACAGGTATTTGTGTTCAAAATGTAAGAAGTAGAAAGTACAGGTATTTGGGTTCAACATGTAAGAAGTAGAAAGTACAGGTATTTGGGTTCAACATGTAAGAAGTAGAAAGTACAGGTATTTGAGTTCAAAATGTAAGAAGTAGAAAGTACAGGTATTTGTGTTCAACATGTAAGAAGTCAAAGTAAAAAGTCGTCAGAAAAATAAGTAGTGGAGTAAAGTACTGATACCAGAAGAATGTACTTAAGTACAGTAACAAAGTATTTGTACTCCACTACTTCCCACCTCAATAATGACCATGTATAGAGACAAGACAGCATGAAGCCATATTCACACAGAGAGGAAGGAGGAGGCGTTAAAGTCATTAAAGTCATTAATGTTACGGTTTTGTATTTATGTTTTCATTTTCCACCTTTTGTTTTGAAATGTTTTCCTCCTTGTGTCTTCTCTGTTCCTTCTTCCTGTGTTTGCCTTCCTGTCGTTAGTTTCCCTGGTGTGTCTGATTGTCTGATTGTGTTCACCTGTTGCCCTTGTGTTTCTGCCTCTCTTACCCCAGCTGTGTCTTGTCTTGTGATTACCCCTCCCTGTATTTAGTCTTGTCTCTTCCTGTGTTCCCCTGTCGGTTCATTGTTGGTTTTTCCTGTCTTCCTCCATGTCAGTCACGGTTGTCTCTCCTGTCTCCCTCCATGTGGGTCACGGTCAGTTTTTTGTACAACCCATTTGTTTCATGCCTTGTTTTGATCAGCTTTTAAAATAAAGCTCGCTTTTTGTTACGAGACCTGTTACCTTTTTGATAGTCTGCATTTGGGTCCTACCCTTCCACGCCATCCTAACAGAATGAACCGACCAGCTTTGGACTCAGCAGACTCGGATCGTTTTGCTCTACAGGCAGAATGTCTTGGGTACTCTCTGGAGTACATTTTTTATACCTGGAATGGCGCCTCTTCTAGACGTGGTAGAGAGGCTGCGTTGAAGGAGGCACGTCAGGAGGTTGCTCGCCAGCCCTGGCTTAGGAGCATGTTGCCTGAGTGGCTACAACTTTTCACAAGTAGTCCTGAGGACTTGTCCGAAGCCTCTAACCCTTTCCTGGGGTATGACCAGGCCTGGGGAGGCCCACAGATCCTCCAAAGAATCTCTAGGAGACGCAAGACCAAGATTCCAGCCTGTGCTCCAGTGGTTCCAGCTCCATTCTCTGGCCCTTTTTTGGGATCCCGCTTGGCGTTTGGAGGTCCACGGAGCCTCCAGGGGGCCTCGGAGAAACGCAAGGTCGGGAGGCCGGCTCGTGGTCCAGTACCGGCCCACACAGCCATGAATCCGTGCACCAGTACCGGCCCACACAGCCATGCTTCCGTGCTCCATTACCTGGCTCACACAGCCAGGGTCCAGGCTTCTGTTCCGTGCCCAGCAGCCATGGTGCCTGCTCTAGTACCGGCCCACACAGCCATGGTTCCGGCTCCAGAACCGGCCCATACAGCCATGGTTCCAGCCCCAGTTCTGGCCCCAGCAGCCATGGTTCCGGCCCCAGTTCTGGCCCCAGCGGCCATGGTTCCGGCCCCAGCAGCCATGGTTCCGGCCCCTGTTCCCGTCCCAGCAGCCATGGTCCCGACTTCAGTTTCGGCTCCAGTACTGGCTCCCCGGCCGACGCCAGCCCCCCGTGTCCTGTCGGTGGTCCGGCCGACTCCAGCACCTCGTGTCCTGTCGGTGGTCCGGCCGACTCCAGCACCTCGTGTCCTGTCGGTGGTCCGGCCGACTCCAGCACCCCCGTCTCCTGTCGGTGGTCCGGCCGACTCCAGCACCTCGTGTCCTGTCGGTGGTCCGGCCGACTCCAGCACCTCGTGTCCTGTCGGTGGTCCGGCCGACTCCAGCACCTCGTGTCCTGTCGGTGGTCCGGCCGACTCCGGCCCCCCGTGTTTTGTCAGTGGTTCGGCCCACTCCAGCCCCTCGTGTTCTGTCGGTGGTCCGGCCGACTCCAGCACCCCGTGTCCTGTTGGCTCTATGGCCGACGCCTACCCCATGTCCTGTGATGTTGGAGGTCCCGCCGACTACTCTTCTGCCGGGGGTCCTGCCAACCCTATGTCCTGTGCTGTTGGAGGTCCCCGCCGACTACTCTCCTGCCGGGGGTCTTGCCAACTCCATGTCCTGTCCCATTGGGGGTCCCGCCGACTCCTCTTCTGCCGGGGGTCTTGCCAATCCTATGTCCTGTCCCGTTGGGGGTCCCGCCGACTACTCTTCTGCCGGGGGTCCTGCCAACCCTATGTCCTGTGCCGTTGGAGGTCCCGCCGACTACTCTTCTGCCGGGGGTCCTGCCAACCCTATGTCCTGTGCCGTTGGAGGTCCCGCCGACTACTCTTCTGCCGGGGGTCTTGCCAACCCTATGTCCTGTGCCGTTGGAGGTCCCGCCGACTACTCTTCTGCCGGGGGTCCTGCCAACCCTATGTCCTGTGCCGTTGGAGGTCCCGCCGACTACTCTTCTGCCGGGGGTCTTGCCAATCCTATGTCCTGTCCCGTTGGGGGTCCCGCCGACTACTCTTCTGCCGGGGGTCCTGCCAACCCTATGTCCTGTGCTGTTGGAGGTCCCACCGACTACTCTCCTGCCGGGAGTCTTGCCAACTCCATGTCCTGTCCCATTGGGGGTCCCGCCGACTACTCTTCTGCCGGGGGTCTTGCCAACCCTGTGTCATGTGCCGTTGGGGGTTCAGCTGTGGGTCCTGCCAACCCCATGTCCTGTCCCGTTGGGGGTCCCGCCGACTACTGCTCCGCCAGGTTTCCTGCCAACACCAGATCCTGTCCTGTTGGGGGTCCCGCCGACACCTGCTCCACCAGATTTCCTGCCTACACCATGTCCTGTCCTGTTGGGGGTCCCGCCGACACCTGTCCCGCCGGGGGTCCTGCCAGCTCCATGTTCTGTTCTGTTGGGGGTCCCGCCGACACCTGTCCCGCCGGGGGTCCTGCCAACTCTGTGTCCTGTCCTGTTGGAGGTCCCGCCGACACCTGTTCCACCGGGGGTCCTGCCAACTCTGTGTCCTGTTCCGTTGGAGGTCCAGTCGACACCAGCCCTTGCTCCATCCGGGGTCCCATTGACACCAGTCCATGTCATGTCCAGGATCCCGTCTACGCCTGTTCCGTCGGCTCCGGTTCCTGTCTGGCCGACAACGGGTCCTGCCCGGCCTCCGGAGCTGTCCCGTCAGCGCCTTCCTGCCCGTCCTCCGGAGTTGTCCCGTCAGCACCTTCCAGCCCGGCCCCCTGAGTGCCGGGGCCTTCGCCCTCGAGCCCGGCCTCCTGACGCTTTCAGCCGCTGCCTTTGCTCTCATGCCCGCCCCCCTGAGTTCGCCCGCTGTGGTCTTCGCCCTTTTTTGAACTCTGCCTTGCCCCCGGGCCGTCCGCCCGAGACCCCCTCCTTGATCTCTGCCTTGACCCCGGGCCGTCCGCCCGAGACCCCTTCCGGGTCCTCCGCTGTGCCCCTGGGCTGTCAGCCCAAACCCGTCCTCCAGACCCCCTCCACCCACCCTGCTGGAATTTTTTGGACTTTTGGGGGTTTTCTTGGGACGTCTGGAATCCGTCCCTTGAGGGGGGGGTTCTGTTACGGTTTTGTATTTATGTTTTCATTTTCCACCTTTTGTTTTGAAATGTTTTCCTCCTTGTGTCTTCTCTGTTCCTTCTTCCTGTGTTTGCCTTCCTGTCGTTAGTTTCCCTGGTGTGTCTGATTGTCTGATTGTGTTCACCTGTTGCCCTTGTGTTTCTGCCTCTCTTACCCCAGCTGTGTCTTGTCTTGTGATTACCCCTCCCTGTATTTAGTCTTGTCTCTTCCTGTGTTCCCCTGTCGGTTCATTGTTGGTTTTTCCTGTCTTCCTCCATGTCAGTCACGGTTGTCTCTCCTGTCTCCCTCCATGTGGGTCACGGTCAGTTTTTTGTACAACCCATTTGTTTCATGCCTTGTTTTGATCAGCTTTTAAAATAAAGCTCGCTTTTTGTTACGAGACCTGTTACCTTTTTGATAGTCTGCATTTGGGTCCTACCCTTCCACGCCATCCTAACAGAATGAACCGACAGGGGAACACAGGAAGAGACAAGACTAAATACAGGGAGGGGTAATCACAAGACAAGACACAGCTGGGGTAAGAGAGGCAGAAACACAAGGGCAACAGGTGAACACAATCAGACAATCAGACACACCAGGGAAACTAACGACAGGAAGGCAAACACAGGAAGAAGGAACAGAGAAGACACAAGGAGGAAAACATTTCAAAACAAAAGGTGGAAAATGAAAACATAAATACAAAACCGTAACAATTAAAGGTCGTTGCACATCACTAACGACTCACAGATCGGTTGCACATTCGTCTGAAAAGGAGTTTCCTCGTGGGGATTTCTAAAGAGCTCGACTCAGAATTGAAATGGCATGTGAATGAGTTTGTGGGAATATGTGGAAAGTAAATCAGAGCCAAGTTGAAACTAATTTTAGCCACATGTTGTGATTGCTTAATGATTCAAATCCTCTATTTCTTCATTTGGTTTATCAGCCAAACATGTTGTGTTCTGCCTCTTTATTAATCTCCCTGAGCCAAACACTGAGAGGTAAATTAATTAAACTATATTTAACCAGCGTTATTGCCCGTAAGGAAGGCTCTCTTCCTCTGGGAAAATCCAGAAGAGGAATCCGTCCAGCTGTTCTTTCTCTATGTTTGTCTCCCTCTGTTTATTCACCCATATTTTTCTTTCTTTTAGCAAACACAACCATTCCCAACGTACACGAAGTGAAGGAGAACATGACCATGGGAAGCACGCTGCTGACCAATCCCAGCGGAGGATTTCTGGTGAGCGGAAGTTCCTCTTTATAGCACATTAAAGAGTACATTTTCCAAACTAACACACACACACACACTGAACTCTGCAGCGAGTGTGTGTTCACGTACTCTCTGGGGGATTCTGCGTGTCCTGGGAATGAATCGCTGCAGAAATGTACAGAATGCATGATGTGAGAGGTGGTGACGGGACACTTTGATTTATGGATATGAACTCCAGTAAACTTGTGCATGATTAAGAAATTGGCAGGTTGTTAAAATGACTATAAATATATTTATGCAACATGAAGTGAATGTTATGTTGGACTGTGAGGAAATATCCTGCACAGCTGCAACCCTTTTTAACACTTAATATGAATGTTAAAAAAGGGTGAAGGTGGTGTTTGAAAGCTCACATCCAACAGCTGTTAGTCAATCTAAACATCTAAAGTGACAGTGAGTGAAAAGGTGATAAGGGGATTGTTGAGGAAGCTTATAAGGGGTGTATAGCAACAGAAAACTCACACATGTACATGAATTTTTTTTTAAATATTCTCTGAGAAGTTGTATTTTTACACGACAAATTCTGAGTGTCTTTCCAGATTACCCCCCTTCTCCAACTCCATGTATGTTCACTACTCTCCTATGGATTTTATTTTGAAGCTTGTTTTTGTCAGCATGTTAGCATTTAGCTCAAAACACCACAGAGAATAAGCACCCTTTTGATTGTTCTTCTCCAGTATCCCTCCCACTGTGAGAAATAAAAGGCGCTGTGGAGAATGCACGGAAATCTAAGGAAATGAGGCTTAAAGATTATTAGATGTTATTAAATGTTCCAGTTATTGTTGGTAATTGTATAGCCCTCCTTCCTCGCACGCTCAAGTTCCCTCTTCTCTCTCTCTCTGAAGAAGTTAGTTCTGGAAAAATCTCAGTTTTGAGAAGCTCTGCTGTCCTCAGTAGCCTCCTCTCACCCGTGACCTCACACTGTCTGTGTAAGATATACTTTCCTACAGTTGTTTGTGTGTGTGTGTGTGTGTGTGTGTGTGTGTGTGTGTGTGTGTGTGTGTGTGGTGTGTGTGTGTGTGTGTGTGTGTGTGTGTGTGTGTGTGTGTGTGTGTGTGTGTGTGTGTGTGTGTGTGTGTGTGTGTGTGTGTGTGTGTGTGTGTGTGTGTGTGTGTGTGTGTGGTGTGTGTGTGTGTGTGTGTGTGTGTGTGTGTGTGTGTGTGTGTGTGTTGTGTGTGTGTGTGTGTGTGTGTGTGTGTGTGTGTGTGTGTGTGTGTGTGTGTGTGTGTGTGTGTGTGTGTGTGTGTGTGTGTGTGTGTGTGTGCAGGCCTGTGGTCCTCAGTACGGCTACATGTGTGGGCAGCAGCAGTTCATCTCCGGCGTCTGTGCGAACGTCAGCGACTCGTTCCAGGTCCTCAACTCTTTGGCTCCCGCCGTGCAAGGTACGCTGCCTGTCCTTTCAAAAATAAAACACCTTTAAAGGTCACCTATTATGCAAAACCCTCTTCTTCATGTCTCTTCTCCATCAACATGTGTCCCCTCTTCTTCATGTCTCTTCTACATCAACATGTGTCCCCTCTTCTTCATGTCTCTTCTCCATCAACATGTGTCCCCTCTTCTTCATGTCTCTTCTACATCAACATGTGTCCCCTCTTCTTCATGTCTCTTCTACATCAACATGTGTCCCCTCTTCTTCATGTCTCTTCTACATCAACATGTGTCCCCTCTTCTTCATGTCTCTTCTACATCAACATGTGTCCCCTCTTCTTCATGTCTCTTCTACATCAACATGTGTCCCCTCTTCTTCATGTCTCTTCCACATCAACATGTGTCCCCTCTTCTTCATGTCTCTTCTACATCAACATGTGTCCCCTCTTCTTCATGTCTCTTCTACATCAACATGTGGCTCCTTATTTTCATCTCAAGTAACAGACAGAGAATCAGCACTTTGGAAACAGGGCTGAAACAGAGGGGATTATGGGATGCTGCAATGATCTGTTTGGTGTTTCAGCCAATCAGAGACAGGCTCTGGATATATCTGAGACCTGTGATATATTGATGAGAAACAGTATAATGGGGGACCTTTAAAAAGAGAAAGAAAGACCCACCCAGGACGTGACAGCATCTGCCCCCAAATGACCCGTCAGAGATAAGAGACTGTAATCTGCTCTTCTTGGTGGTACCACCCAAACGCCCCCTCCCTTCAGAGCAGAGATTAGAGCGTTTTTCTTTAATGGAAACTCTCTGTCTGCGTTTCATGCCCAAGTTAGGAGACGCTGCTCTGCTTCCCAGGAAGGACACATCTCAGAGAGGACGGAGAGTAAACAGACTGCAGACATCTTTCTCTTCCTCTGATTCCTTCAGCTCTCTGCCGTTAACAGAAACACATATATATATATATACTCAAACTGATCATATAGTGTTTCAGAAATACAAATACATGTCCCAGGTTATTAGAGAAATGCTTGATTTATGATGCAATTAAAATACATAATTTCTATTGCCGTAGCATTTCCAAGAGGTTTGATTTAAGACACAAAGACTAAATAAGTAGCCACACATTTGGCTTAAACAAGATATATGTCAAACAAGAAGAAGGTATATGAAGGCATGAAATATGTCTCGTTTAAGTTTGTGACGGGCATTTGACAATTTTGACCTTCATGGACTAAACAATTATAAATGAATCGTAAAAAGAATATGCAGGTTATCGGTATGAAACAGAAACGTTAATTGCATCCCCTTTAATGATGAATTAAAGTGATCAAAAACCTTCTCTATTTCCACCTTAAAGGGGACCTATCATGCAAAATGCACTTTTTTATGTCTTTTATACATAAACATGTGTCCCCGGTGCGTCAGGGAACTCACGCAGCGTCAGAAAATAAAACCCTCTCTCTTTTCCTCCGTACCCAAATCTCTAAAAACGGGGGAACAACAGAGCTGATCCAGATTTGCGTCTGATATGAATGATAGAAATAGTGCAGAATAGTCTATATACAAGTAATTGGAATATTGATATATATGAGTTGCAAACAGATGAATGTTGTGGATGTTCTTTCAAAGGTTCAAGTGTCTAACAGTATAACACAAGGCCAATCTTTTGTAGTTAAAACAACAAACTGACTATCTAACTATAAATATACTTATCAATATGTTCTGTCTCTGCTCCAGAGTGTGCGAAGGAGCTGGACATCGTAATGGTTCTGGACGGATCCAACAGTATTTATCCCTGGAGCAGCATCATCGAATTCCTGGTGAAGTTCCTCAAGAACATCCAGATCGGACCCAAACTCTCTCAGGTCAGTTGGCAGAGGAAGGGAACTGTTAGAAAAATATCACTCATCACCGGCTTGAGCTTCAATCTCAGGATCCATGTATTTCTGATCCTCTCCAGAATGGAAGTAGTCATCACATACAGAGCATCAACTAGTTCCTGAACAGTGTCCTTCACATGCTGATATCCAAGAGAGGGAGTTACACAGTCACAAGATGGAGGAATAGAAAGCAGTATTCAATGTTTACTTCAGATTAGCTCCACGTCAGAAATGATCATGCTTGTCATATGTCTATCTCCATAGAGGCTGAATCATCATGTTAATCACATAGCTATCATATGCCTCAAACAGTCCTGATGCTCTTCTAGGTAATCATACATCCTGTCATGTACACAGCTACAGTTGGGATACCTTTGTTATCATGTTACTCTCATATTGGAAGAGTACCGTCATCTTTCATTCTAGCCCTAAGAATCTTTTGAATGGTCTACTTTTCTCCGTTATATATATTTACTAAGTCAATATCTTTGGGGTTTTTCGACTTTTGGCTCCTTGGAGTGCGGCTGAGGGATTTGACAGTTACTCAGACCTAATTATAAGATACATAACTTTGCATTCCTTAGGTATTACAGCTCTTAAAATCTCTGCAATTGTGACATGCATGTTACCAAAAATCAAAGTAACTTATATCAATCCCTAAAATATGTGTTTGGTTTGCCTACAAATGGATTTGACTGTTCCCTGTTTGGAAAATGACTCTTTTTATGGGTGTTTTAACATCACAGACTGAAACATGCATGGATAAATGGGTTATATATAACAGACAAAGCATGAATGAAAGAATAAACCGTTCACTGCCAGCTCAATTTTGCACATTACATAATATTTGATGACTACAAGGCCCTTCATTATGCAGTTTTCCACTGTGTGTCATTCATGAAGCAGACTTTCTGAAGTGAAATTCAGTTTTTAGAACGCTATTCCTTCAGTGTATTTTTGTCCTGGACGGCTGCACGATTTGGCGGTTGGGTTTATTATGGTTACATGGATGTGTTTGAGTTTTCCGGAGGGGAAACACTGGGAACTTTTCCCACTGCGGAGCCTCGTGGTCGAAAGTCACATCTTCCACGGCTGCTGAAGTCCATTCTGCCTCTGAGTAAAGAACATTCAGTCATAAGGACCCACCACAGCTCAGCAGACTGTCTGGGGGGAAGACAGAGGACTAATAATAAGGAACAATAAATCTTAATGTAGGTTAACGTTTATAATAACGTGTTTAAGTCAGTTTATAAGCAAAGAAAAGTGAACAAATTACCAAATAGTCTCTGATTCAAGCCTCTTAAATTACAGAAATAGCTGTTTTTTGCTGTTAAATATCATTTTTAAGAGAATATTTTAAGGTTATTATTTTGACTTTTGGTCGAATCACATTTGGCTCTGCAAAGTTTTGATGGGCATTCGACAGTTTTTTCCCATTCTCATGGACAAACAACTCCACACATACTTCACACACACACTCATACACACCCACTTACACACACACATAACTCCACACACACTTTGCAGATGAATTTGCAGATTAATCGATAATCAAGATATATTGTAAATTGCGATTTTGTCTAAAACGTCATTGTTTTAGTGGGTTTTTTAGGGAAAACTGTGAAAAAATGCCACATATTCTCTGACTCCAGCCTCTCAACTGAGACAATATCCATTTCTCTGTAACATATTATTATAGAGTTCATGTTTGTGGTGTTGTTGGACAAAACATGAGGATTTCAAGACAAATCCTCAACAGACGTGGTGAGGGACTGCAGAGAAGAGGAGAACAATTTATACTAAAGTGTGTGTGTGTGTGTGTGGTGTTGTGTGTGTGTGTGTGTGTGTGGGTGTGTGTGTGTGTGGTGTGTGTGTGTGTGATGTGTGTGTGTGTGTGTGTGTGTGTGTGTGTGTGTGTGTGTGTGGTGTGGGTGTGTGTGTGGTGTGTGTGTGTGTGTGTGTGGTGTGTGTGTGTGTGTGTGTGTGTGTGTGTGTGTGTGTGTGTTGTGTGGTGTGTGTGTGTGTTGTGTGTGTAGTGTGGTGTGTGTGTGTGTGTGTGTGTGTGTGTGTGTGTTGTGTGTGTGTGTGTGTGTGTGTGTGTGTGTAGTGTGTGTGTGGTGTGTGTGTGTGGTGTGTGTGGTGTGTGTGTTGGTGGTGTGTGTGTGTAGTGTGTGGGTGGGTGTGTGTGTGTGTGTGTGGTGTGTGTGTGTGTGTGTGTGTGTGTGTGTTGTGTGGTTGTGTTGTGTGTGTGTGGTGTGTGTGGTGTGTTGGTGTGTGTGTAGTGTGTGGTGTGGTGTGTTGTGGTAGTGTGTGTGTGTGTGTGTGTGGTGTGTGTGTGTGGTGTGTGTTCCAGGTGGGCATAGTGTCTTATGGACAGACGGTGACTCACAGAGTGAATCTGAGTCAGTTTGAGAACAACGAGGATCTGGGGGATTTTGTGAAGGAACTTCCTCAGCAGACCGGATTCAAGACCATGACGTTCCTGGGCATCGACACTGCCAGGTAATACATTATGAAGTATATATATATTAAATAAATAAGTTAATAAGTGTCATAAGACAAGCCCAACGTGTCAGACCAAAAACACCTATGCAGAACATCAGAGGTGGGAAGTAGTGGAGTACAAATACTTTGTACTCAAGTACATTTTTCTGGTATCAGTACTTTACTCCACTACTTATTTTTCTGACCACTTTTTACTTTTACTTCTTACATGTTGAACCCAAATACCTGTACTTTCTACTTCTTACATGTTGAACCCAAATACCTGTACTTTCTACTTCTTACATTTTGAACACAAATACCTGTACTTTCTACTTCTTACATTTTGAACCCAAATACCTGTACTTTCTACTTCTTACATGTTGAACACAAATACCTGTACTTTCTACTTCTTACATGTTGAACACAAATACCTGTACTTTCTACTTCGTACATGTTGAACCCAAATACCTGTACTTTCTACTTCTCACATGTTGAACACAAATACCTGTACTTTCTACTTCTTACATGTTGAACCCAAATACCTGTACTTTCTACTTCTTACATGTTGAACCCAAATACCTGTACTTTCTACTTCTTACATGTTGAACCCAAATACCTGTACTTTCTACTTCTTACATGTTGAACACAAATACCTGTACTTTCTACTTCTTACATGTTGAACACAAATACCTGTACTTTCTACTTCTTACATTTTGAACACAAATACCTGTACTTTCTACTTCTTACATGTTGAACACAAATACCTGTACTTTCTACTTCTTACATTTTGAACACAAATACCTGTACTTTCTACTTCTTACATGTTGAACACAAATACCTGTACTTTCTACTTCTTACATTTTGAACACAAATACCTGTACTTTCTACTTCTCACATTTTGAACACAAATACCTGTACTTTCTACTTCTTACATGTTGAACACAAATACCTGTACTTTCTACTTCTTACATGTTGAACTCAAATACCTGTACTTTCTACTTCTTACATTTTGAACACAAATACCTGTACTTTCTACTTCTTACATGTTGAACACAAATACCTGTACTTTCTACTTCTTACATTTTGAACACAAATACCTGTACTTTCTACTTCTTACATGTTGAACACAAATACCTGTACTTTCTACTTCTTACATTTTGAACACAAATACCTGTACTTTCTACTTCTCACATTTTGAACACAAATACCTGTACTTTCTACTTCTTACATGTTGAACACAAATACCTGAACTTTCTACTTCTTACATGTTGAACTCAAATACCTGTACTTTCTACTTCTCTCATTTCCCAAACAGGCTGGTTCCTTTAGTTTGAATGTGTGTTTGGTGGCGTGATCATTATTATTTAGAGTCATTGCGTGCCTATTGATTTGAACACGATCCGTGTATCCATCACTTCCTGGTCTTCTCTAAAGAAGAGGGACCAATGAAAACGTTGTCATGTTGCCGTTGTTCAGCATGGAAACATTCATTAGCTAACAATGACATTATTGTTCTATTAATATAAAGGGAGGTCAGGTACTCTTTAAAACAGCTGCTAGTTATGGGTACTTTTTACTGAAGTACATTTCAAAGCCCTCTTTACTTTGACTTGAGTAAAGAAGTTTAGTCAGTACTTCTACTTTTACCAGAGTATTTTTAAACACGAGTATCTGTACTTCTACTTGAGTAAAGGATGTGAGTACTTTTCACATCTCGGGAGGTAATACATAATGAAGTATATATATATTAAATAAATATCAACACAACCCATGCAGAACATATTTATTGTTCCATATAATCCCCCTGCCCAAATATTTGAAATATATTTGAGTGCCTGTCAGTAACATGTGTGAATACTCAGCTGCAGATTTCTAACATCTGTAGCATCAGTGAAATGTGCTTTTTGAAACACGTGCATTACGAAAGGCCTTCAGCATATGGAGGAGGAGGGTCTGCTGCATTTTCTTTTACAAAAAGGTGAAAGAGAATATCAGTAGAAGACACTTTAAAATGTCTAAAAATATATATATTTTTGTTATATAACATTTTATTTTAGCAATATACTAAAAGCAGAGGAAAGGTAGAACTGGGTACAGTTTTTAGTTACCTTGGTTGCTGATTGGCTAATGGTTACACAAGACAAAACATCGTTATGACATCACAAAGTGGCCAAAATCTGATCAGCTCATTTTCAGACAGGTTTTTATAGAAATGGATCAGGACAAAAAGAGAGAGAATCTTTGTTCCTGAAACTTTCAGAGTCTCTTTACACAGAGGGGACACATGTTGATGTAGAAGAGACATGAAGAAGAGGGGACACATGTTGATGTAGAAGAGACATGAAGAAGAGGGGACACATGGTGATGAAGAAGAGACATGAAGAAGAGGGGACACATGTTGATGTAGAAAAGACATGAAGAAGAGGGGACACATGTTGATGTAGAAGAGACATGAAGAAGAGGGGACACATGTTGATGTAGAAGAGACATGAAGAAGAGGGGACACATGTTGATGAAGAAGAGACATGAAGAAGAGGGGACACATGGTGATGAAGAAGAGACATGAAGAAGAGGGGACACATGTTGATGTAGAAAAGACATGAAGAAGAGGGGACACATGTTGATGTAGAAGAGACATGAAGAAGAGGGGACACATGTTGATGTAGAAGAGACATGAAGAAGAGGGGACACATGTTGATGTAGAAGAGACATGAAGAAGAGGGGACACATGTTGATGTAGAAGAGACATGAAGAAGAGGGGACACATGTTGATGTAGAAGAGACATGAAGAAGAGGGGACACATGTTGATGTAGAAGAGACATGAAGAAGAGGGGACACATGTTGATGAAGAAGAGACATGAAGAAGAGGGGACACATGTTGATGTAGAAAAGACATGAAGAAGAGGGGACACATGTTGATGTAGAAGAGACATGAAGAAGAGGGGACACATGTTGATGTAGAAGAGACATGAAGAAGAGGGGACACATGTTGATGTAGAAGAGACATGAAGAAGAGGGGACACATGTTGATGAAGAAGAGACATGAAGAAGAGGGGACACATGTTGATGTAGAAGAGACATGAAGAAGAGGGGACACATGTTGATGTAGAAGAGACATGAAGAAGAGGGGACACATGTTGATGTAGAAGAGACATGAAGAAGAGGGGACACATGTTGATGTAGAAGACACATGAAGAAGAGGGGACACATGTTGAAGTAAAAGAGACATGAAGAAGAGGGGACACATGTTGATGTAGAAGAGACATGAAGAAGAAGGGACACATGTTGATGTTGGAAAGACATGAAGAAGTGCATTTTGCATAATAGGTGACCTTTAAATTATGTTTTATTGAATTTGTAACATTTCCTACCCGTCAGGAAGGAGGCGTTCATGCCGGAGCGCGGCGCTCGACCCGGGGTGAAGAAGGTGATGGTGATCGTGACGGACGGAGAGTCACATGACTTCTATAATCTGAACAAAGTGATCGGAGACTGTGAGGATGACGACATCGAGAGGTTCGGCATCGCTGTGAGTACGAGAAACCTTCACGGTGTTTTCACAGATTACGTTATTATATATATTCTGGGTTTTCTGATTTTAGGATGAAGAAAAAAAAACAGAAAAGTCTATTTGTAAGTCGTGAAAGAGAAAGCTGGTGTACGCAGATTTTAGAAATAACAATGCAGTGCAGGGTACATTTAATTTAGCCATCGCTTTGATCTGAAGTGACCTACAACAACAACAACAACAACAACAACAACAACAACAACAACAAGTGCAATCAAACACGAGAATATTCAAATTAAGAAAAGCAAGAATGCAGCTGAAACATAACCAAACTTTTCAAAATGCTTCATAAGAAAGTATTTAAAGGGGTCCCTATTATGCCCTCTGTCTGAAACCAGAACCCAGTCTGCTCTGATTGGTTAGCTGGCCGGCTCTGTTGTGATTGGTCAACCAGCTTAGAGATGTCCCGCCCCTTAGCCTATCATTACATTACATTACATGTTACTTGTTAGACGCTTTTATCCAAAGCGACTTACATACTCAATACTGTGGACAATCCCCACAGGAGCAATTTGGGGTGAAGTGTCTCAGGGACACAACGACATGCTGACTGCAGTGGGGTTTGAACCTGTGAACCCTTGATCCCAACACCAACGGACAACCCACTGCGCCACACGCCTATCACGTACAATGTGTTGGAGCGCTAGCCAATAGGAGCGTGAGGGTTCCTTAGTGATGTCACTGTGTTAAGGAAGTAAACAAGGCAGTCCAATGGAGGTGTTTCAGGCAGTTTGTGGGAGAGAATTGTTAGGGATTTTAGCCTTTGCAGACCATTTACATGCATTAAAACCTAAACAACACACTACAGGAAAAAGGGAACACCCAGATAGTATGACAGCGCCTCCTTTAGACTTGTTAGTTAGGTATTTTTAAGCCTTGTTGTTATTTAGATCAGTGGTTCTCAACTGGTTAGGCCTCGGGACCCACTTTTTACTTGGTCAATAGATCGCGACCCAACATTTTGAAGCACTCAAATCTATTCAACAAAAAATCGTGCTGTAATATATACGCTTTTCAGAATACAATATTAATAACAGTGAAGTACAGTGCATATATCCCTTCACAGAACTAAAGTATGCTTTTAAAAAAGGTTTAATGAGATGATGGAATCAAAGCTGAACTATATAAAAAGGCACACATGCTGAAAACCCAACCCCAGCAGGGGGGTCTGGGGGGATTCTCCCCCAGGAGATTTTTAGAAATACTAACATAAACTACGCATTCTGGTACACTCTGAGAAGAAAATAAATAAATCATACATATTAATATTTTATGCCATTGTTTGTTTTTCACTTAGTTCTGACAGCTTGCTGAGAAAAGAGGAGAGAGTTCGTGTGACTTACTTAATTAATTATAGCCCCCATTGTTCTGTGACCTGTCAATCATCAAACCGGGGGTCATATTTCATTATGTGTTCATTTTTATCTGAAGTGAGAAGATGATCACTACGTGACAGAAGTTTTCAAAACCGTTTATGGTCTCCGGTACTTCCAGTCCAACGCCGACTGCATGCACAGCGTTAGAAAATCGGTCCTTCAAAATAAAAGTTTGCCTTTTTTTCCAAAAAAAAATTCCAATTTTTTTTTTTCAACTTTTTTTTCTTCACTCACACATCCGCGACCCACTTGAAACGGGTCCGCGACCCACTTGAAACGGATCCGCCACCCACTTGAAACGGGTCCGCGACCCACTTTTGGGTCGCGACCCACCAGTTGAGAACCACTGATTTAGATGGTCTTGTATTATTGTTATCTCCAGGTTTTGGGAGACTACAACCGTCAGAACAAGAGCTCAGAAGAAGTGAACAAGTTCATCAAAGAGATCGCGTCCATCTCCAGCGAGCCGCTGCACGACCACTTCTTCAACGTGTCGGACGAGGTGGCGCTGCTGAGCATCGTCGACGCTCTGGGGAGCAAGATCTTCGCCTTGGAGGGTAAAAACTGTCCCTGAGGGAAAAAAACAAATCCATGATGACATAACTCACCTCCATTTGTATCTGAGTAGAAAGTGTCTCGCTGCTCCTTTAAAGAGACATGTATATTTTCCACCTGTATATATATATTTTTTTTTTTACTTTTGAATGCCATTTTATTTCTATTTCAGAAATATTATGGACTGTTTATCTGTTTAATGGGATTCTAACTTTCATTTATTCTTATATATAAATGTTAAAATGAACCTTTCCATCCTCAGCTACAACCGGAAACTTCACCTCCTCCTTCGAGATGGAGATGTCCCAGGCCGGGTTCAGTGCTCACAACTCTAAAGTGAGTCTAAAACTAACTCAAATAATATAAATACCATATCAGTTTAACACAGTGACTTCATGTAGAACCCCTAAAGCAGACTGAATCACATTTTTAGATAACAAAGTTGACTTTTTAGGGATTTTGTTTTAAAAGTAACGTTTATTTTATTTGCTTGCAGTCAAGTGTTTGAGTTTGAATCTCCGGTCGGATACAGGCATTATGTTTTCATTTTGTTAACATTGTGAAATCCTTTTGACACCATTTGTGCTGCATTCAAGTGGTGATGGAAATGTTTGTAAAAACGAGTGCTGTACAGTTTTAAATGCACTTAGCAATAACACACAACAAACTGTATATTCATTACGAATTAAAACATGCCAAATTCTGTAGAACGACTTCCCAACTCAAGGCGTTTTGTTTTTAAATAACTTCTTATTTTTTGTAATGATCGCTTGCATGTGTTTTTATTTTGAACCCTTTTTTCATCTGAGAGTTTCTAGTTATTTCGCCCCTGAGATTTGACCCCAAACGATGTAATTGAATAACTCACAGGAGGAGGATTTACTTTATGAGCTACTAAATGCTTTCTTCCCCTTCTGCTTCAACTAACTTGTATATATTAATATTGAATTAGTTAAATAAAGATTCCTTTAGTGAGCAGACTCAGCCTGTCTGATGCACGCTGTTTGGTGAGATTGCTTGAGAGATTGTGAGGATACAAACACAGAAAAGCAAACAGGGTTGAATCAGATGTTTGTTCACGGCGGTAAAAACAACATGTTTGCTTTTGCCCCACTCGGTTTCATTCATTAGGTATTTCCT